TACTTGGTGATTATGGGGGCAGATGTAAACTTCCGCTACAAGATAGATCCTGCTATCAGGCCTGACCCCACCAACACTGGCTCTGGCCTTTGAAGCCCGTGGACTAGGTACCCGGAGCCCCTGGAGTGCAATAACAGGTGAGTGATGGAGCTGTCTCTGCTGGTGACCAAAGGAATGCAGCCAGGCTGTTGAGAGGACACCATCCATTCTTCCAGGGCCATTCCTCAAGTGCTAGGATTTCCCCTGGATTCTAGATTCCATCTCTCAGGAGGTGACTGGACCGTGTTCCGTGGACGAACCCAAGGTTCTCAATAGAACAAAGTCCAGCAGACACCCAACTTGAAAAGGCCCATCGGCAAATCTGTCTGGGAGGAGGTCCATTCAGAACGCTCCTTAGAATCGAAGATAGCGAGACTTCGTCTCATGTGCTTGGGACAGATTGCCAAGAGAGCCCAGTCCCTGCAGAAGCCCGTGATGCCGGGTAAAGTAGAGGGGTGTCGAAAAAGGGGAAGCCTCTCAACGAGACGGATGGACACCGTGGCTGCATCAAGGGGCTCCGGCCGAACAGTGGGGAGGATGGTGCAGCACTGGGCCGTGTTTCCTGTATGCTGTCCATCAGGTCACAAGCCAGAGACGACTGGATGGCATCCCCAAGGGGACAGGGAAGCCGAGGGGCAGGATGGGATACCTTTTTGGAAGTGAAATATGAGGGTTTCGATGGGTTCACTGGATCTTAGGGTCCACACATTCCTGACCTCATTTTTGTGAGCCAGGCCCTGCTGGAGTGGTGGTCACCTGTGGGGCTGCTAAGGACAAGGTCAGTCGTTTCAAAGCACCAGCCGCTCCGCCATGGCAGGGAGCCAGCCTGGTGGACAGCAATCATGTTTCCAGTGCACCTACCCTCAGAGCCAGAGAAGGGAATTCAGGACGATTCCATTTTCTATAGGACTTACAGATCAAAACTCCTTGTGACGGTGGCTGCACTTACCAAGAACCACCAAGTGCTAACGGCTGGCCAAGAGCTCTTTTCACACAGAGGAGGGAGTGACCATGACCGCAGGGTCAAAGTGACTGAGAACTGCTACCCTATGAATCATAAGAGGTGCCCTGGTGGTGCAGTGGTTACATATTGGGCTGCTTAGCGCAAGGTGAGCAGTTTGAAACTGCCAGCTGAGCCAAGGAAGAAGGATGAGGCTTTCAACTCTTGTGAAGAGTTACAGCCATAGAAATCCACAGAGGAAGTTCTACCCTGCCCTGTAGGGTCGCGATGAGTCGGAATCCAGTCCATGGGGGTGAGTGAACCAACCCCAAACAGGGTGAAGAACAAAAGAGTAGACAATCCACACGAGGGATGGCATTTGGGGCAAAGATTTGGGTGCAATTAAGAGTGCCAATGAGCAATGTAAAACAAAACAAACTCCTTGGGGTGGTCTTGATGCCAACTCATGGGCACTGTGTCACAGGGCTGAACCTGAGGTTTTCCGGGCTGTAAGCAGATTGCCAGGCCTTTCTTCCACGGTGCTACTGGCTAGACCTGAACCACCCACTCTTCTGTTCATAGCGGAGTGCAAACGGTTTATGCCACGCAGGGACCTTCTAGAGAGCAAATAAAACTCAAAAGTCCCCGCCATCGATCCAATCTTGATGTATAGTCAAGATGGATCCATAGGACAGACTAGAACTGCCCCCTGATGGTTCTGAGACAGTAGCTCTTTGCAGGAGTAGAAAACCTCATCTTTCTCTGGTGGCATGGCTGGTGGGTTTGAACGGCAGACGTTGTGATCAACAGCTCAAGACATAACCCACTACACCCCAAGACTCGCTCCTTTGTGCAAAAACATACAATTCTTACACATAGCAACCCTGCAGGACAGGGTAGAACTGCCCCTTTAGGTTTCTGAGAGTGTAACCCGTAACAGGAGTAGAAAGCCTCATCTTTTGCCTGTGGTGTAGGTCGTGGTTTTGAAATACTCACCTTGTGGTTACCAGTCCAGTGTGTAACCCAGGACACCAGCAGGGCTCCTCAGAGTGCAAATAAAAAGTCCCAAACCAAACTCACTGCTGTTGAGACAATGCTGACCCATAGCGATCCCATAGGATTGGGCAAAACTGCCCCTGTGGGGCTCCCAAGACTCGAAGTTTTTAGAGCACGCAGTAAGCCCTGTCTTTCTCGTGTGGCATGGCTGGTGGTCTTGAACTACTCACCTTGTGGTTAGTAATCCAACACGGAACACACGATGCCACCGGGGCTCCTCAGAGTGCAAATAGATTCCTTACATCTCTGTGGTGCCATCTGCAAAGAGATGTCCTTGGAAAGTGCACACAGCTGGAAGCAGACCTCACCAATAGTGGTAGTTACAGAATTTCATGTCAACTTGCTAAATAGGTTATACGGGTAGAGTCTAGCCTGTTAATCCAGTCATAGCCAATCATGCCTCTGTGTGGGCATGGCCTTCTGAGGATTAAGGGCACTCCTGTCTTCCTCCCTGGAGGTGGGACACACTCTCTGCTTTGAATTCCTGTTGACTAGCCACATGGAGCTACATTGATGGAGCCTGAGCCCTGGAGCTGGAGAAGCCATGTGGAGACCCACACCAGCGCTGAGTTGTTTCCACAAGACTTTCCACCCACTGGCCTCTGATCTTCCTGCATTCGGGGTCATTGTATGTGTGGCATGATTCTGAAGAGGAATTTACAGATTGGTATTGGACATAGGGGCTAATATCGGACTTATGGACTTGACCTGGATTGGGCTGTTTTCTTAATGTACAATGACTCTTTGATATAAGCTCTTTCTTAGACACATATGAGTGTGTATAAGTGTCTAGTCAACCCAGACTAACACACCAATACTTTAAAAAATACCCAGCAGGGTCAGAGAGGCGGGAGGGCAATCCCAGGGGGATCGGGAAAGAGTTCGTGGGAAAGAAGGCTGGCCTCATAGCCCCAGGCAGGGTCAGCTGCCACTCTGGAGGCACCCAGGCTTTCTACAAATGCTGCCTGCGAGAACCTGCTTCTGCCAGGCTACTGGTCTCCCCCGTCTCTGCTGTTCACTGACAAGTCGACCTCCAGTGCCCCGTTTCTCCTCCTTTCATCGCTTCTGAGCTGGACCGTGGTGACACCTGGGAGGTGGCCAACCTTCCTGTGTCAAGGATGAGTTCCTGGGATGTGTGCACAGCCAATGGCAGAGCTGAGGCTGCTCCCACTGGGGCTGGAAGGCCTTTATAAAGCCAGCTGTCTTGTCAGAGTGGTGTCAGGACCCCCAAAGCCGCGCTAGCTCTGCGCTCCGATGAGCACCGTTCCCTCCAAGGGCTGGGCCTCGTCTTCCTTGCTCACGCCAGACTATTTTCAGAGTGGTTGGGGACTGAGCTGACCTTACAGTTAGCAGGCAGTAATCCAGCATCACAGAGGCTTGGTGCTCCCGCCCACTCTGTGGGACACCGGCTCTTGGATGCTATTTTCGCTCGGGAATGCTTGGTGGCCCTGCCCCTGCCAGAACACAGGAAGCTGTGGCTGGCTCAGCTGGGGGAACGTGTATGGCACATTCTCACATGTACAACGGCGTCTCCTTGGCTAGCGTGTAGGATTGTGGTGCTTGCAGCCAGGGGGTGGAAACGGGCAGATGGCGTGTGCAGATAGGCCCTGTGGTGGGTGTGGCAACCCTAACTCGAGGCTGTTCATTTAGGTCTGACCCACAAGAAGAGGGGAGCTCACACTAGCCAAGGGTTCACGATGGACTCAACGGTGGATTTGCTTTGGGAGCAGAGAGGATTTTTACCAAATACAGTAAAGCCTTTTCTATAAATAGGGAAGAAAAACATTTTCAGCATGTCTGCGTCAGCAAGGTTACAATGCCATATTAATTTCATAGGGAGGTTTAATTATTTTGTGAACCAAGTCCCAGGGTTCTTAAGCAGGTTCTCGGTACTTCTCACCTTGCCTCTCCGTGGGTATCCACAAGGGAGAAGTCAGACACAGGTGAATACCCACCTGTAGGCCAATGCCCCAATACATTTGAGGGCCAGCACCAATTTGTGAGAAGTTTGGGGACCCTGTTTTTATTTTGACTTCACCATAGGGCATCTGATAAAAACCCTCAAAATAACCCCAACCCCCCAAAAATCATCTATACAAAATGAGAGGCTTTGAGAGAATGACTTAGAATGCTGCCCCCACCCCTATCCCCCTTCTTGGAATCATTGTTATTTAGGCCCATCTTTCGAGAGTGGTTTTAAATTGGGGGTGGAGACAAGCTCAGTGCAGGCAGTTCACTGCCTGTTTGGCCGTGTTTCAGATTGTTATTCTGCCCCGCTCCATGCGATCAAGCCACCCAGTGAGCTGGCTCCCTCCAAGAAAACTAGCTGGCTCTGAGTCCCCATGTTTACCACACCCCAACCACTCACTCAAATTTAGAAAAGCCTCGCTTTTATTCTCTTCCTGCTCAAGGGCTCCCTCTTCCTCGATGACAGCTGCCTTCTCAGACAGACCATGCTACCCTTCGGGTCAATACTATGCGCTAAAAGAACCCATCCACTTGCTGAGGGGCCGCCACCCCTTCTTGGCACCCCGTTCCCAGCAGACTTGGTTCTACAGCGTTTCCAGGGGCAGGTTTTTGTAGGTTGCCAGGCCTTTTTTCCAAGGTGCCTGAGGAGAACCGGACCTGGCTGTGTGTGTTCACTGTTTGCAGTGCTCAAATCAAAACCACACCTCACTGTCAAGGACTTGATTCTGACTCACAGGGACCCCAAGGAGCGGGTACAATATGTCCCGAGGCTGCGATTCTTTAGTGGAGCAAACCACCTCTTGCTGAGCGGCCAGTGGGTTTGAGCAGCTGACCTGTGGTTAGCAGTCCGACCCCTCACCTACCCTAGCGCTCCTTGCACCATCCAGGGGCCTCCTGTTCTCGCCTGTGCATTCAAAGCCTCCGTTTCCTGATCCTCCTCCCTCTCCCCGGAACACAACAAGAGGAGACCCTGAGCGGGTGGTCACTGAGGTGGGTGTTCAGCAGGACAGTGTCGATATTTATTTAAGAGCAAACAAAAACTTAAAAGCAATAGATGTAAGAATAAGTTAGGTAGTTTGTGGGCTCATCTCTTCTCTATTTTATGGGCATCCACTGGGCTTCTGAATTGATGGGGTAGAAGCAGTAGTATCCTGTCTATTTCTTTCGGCTCACAAGGCCCACTTCTCTGACTCACATGGAATCGGTGAACCTGAAAAACAAGAGATTCTTTGAGAACCTAAGTAATGTTGGAGTTGACCTTAGAAAACTAGCCAAGAAAAACCCCAAACTCCACACCCAATCACCCTGATGGGGTGAAAAGACTTGGGGGCCTCACCAAGTTTGTGGAAAAACAGAACAGAAAGCTCATGGGATTTTCCTACAATCTGTCCCTCAAGGCACTACTGAGAAAAAGCTCCAGTTTATTTTCCTGGGCTCTGTCTTCAAGCTACACACGCGCTAGGAAGCTTCACGTGCTGGCAGCTTGTGTAGGAACTTTCTGCTTTTAACTGTGAGCGCCCACAGGGCACACAGCTCCGGCAACGTTTTCTCTTTAATGCTGAAGATTAAAGTAATAAGAATAACGTGTAGCAGTTTTTAGTGCCCAGCAGAGGCCGCTCTGTCTGCTGAGCAATATCTCGACTGCGAAGCTGCTCTGACTGTTGGTGGATAGATAATGACACGGGCACAGCCATTATCACCGTGGCAACAGTACCAGGCGGTATCCGAGGAACATTGCACATGGCACTGCCGGCTCTCGAGCAGGCATGCCTCAGCTTCCTCCGGGGTATGCTTTTCCTGCGAGTCTGGTGTGCCGAGGGTACTGCCAACCCTGGACGTGGCCGAGACTCCGCAGATCAGACCGAGGGTCGATCGTGCTGTCCCCCACTGCCATCGAGCCGATCCTGACTCACAGGGACCCTATAGGCCTGGGTAGAACTGCCTAGAGTTTGGTTTTATTTCGAACTGCTGATTTTGCGTGTATCAGCCCAATGAGTAACCACTAGGCCACCAGGGCTGGGAAACCCACGGGGCTGACCCTGCGGTTAATTTATGCTGCAACGAGCCTCTCGGGGTTCCAAGTGCATGAAAGCCTGCGGGCCGGGATCTGGATCCGGGGGAGTAGGGGAGCGGCTGAGTACGCTGATGGTATGGGGGGGGGGGCTGCCCCTCCTCCGCACCCCCACATGCTTCCAGGCGCTCCCCGTGCCTCGTGCGGACGCTGAGCTTCAGGCGCCAGGACTACAGCTCGCAGGAAACGTCTGTCTGTCCCCAACGAGCCCGTCCCCAGCAAGGCTGCCCACCCGAGCCGCCCTACCCGCGCGCGTAGAATGGAGAACAGTGTGGGAGCGCCGGTTCCCAGGGACCACCCAACCCCGCCGCCTTGCACGTGCGCCTGCGTTCGGCCGGGGCCCCCAAGCCACTCACTTCAGCGAGGAGAGGACCCGGGCCTGCCCCGCCGCGCCACCACGCCATCCACAGGAGCCGGGCCCGGCCCGCTAACCCGCTAGCAGCTAAACGGCCGCCCACATTGGAACCGGAACCGGAACTGGAGCCATCCTCTGAGAAGTGACCCCTTCCGGGATTCCCCTCCGAACGGGCGAATCCCCGCCCGGGGTCGCTCGGGGTCTTCCAGAGGTATCCCAGCATGCCTCGGCTGCGCTCGGAAGGAAGTGGTCTTGTCTCCGAAGCTGGCTCTCGTTGCCTCTGGGCGTACAGTGATGGGCATCGACGCTGTCCAATCAACTGATAGAGCGCGGATGCCCGTGACCAATAGAAAGACAGTGAGTGGGAGGGGGTGGGGCCCAGTCCGTCGGCCCCGCCCCCGGGTCGCCGGGGCGGGACGAGTGAGGTGATTGGCAGGCTCGCCGGGTGCGGAGCCCAGGGCCGGCGGGCGAGGACTCCGGCCAGAGAGCGGGCATGAGTGGTTCCCTGGGCCGAGCGGCGGCGGCTCTGCTCCGTTGGGGGCACGTCGCGGGCAGCGGCGTGCTGCGGGGCCCGGGCGTGCGGGCGGCGGGCTCGGGCGCCGGCGGCCGCTCGGCGGAGCAGCTGGACGCGCTGGTGAAGAAGGACAAGGTGGTGGTCTTCATCAAAGGGACGCCCGAGAAGCCCCAGTGCGGCTTCAGCAACGCCGTGGTGCAGATCCTGCGCCTGCACGGCGTCCGCGACTACGCGGCCTACAACGTGCTCGACGACCCCGAGCTGCGGCAAGGTCAGACTGCGAGTGGGGCCAGTCCAGGCAGAGACCCCCATGCGGTCCGGGGGTCGCTGCGCGTGGCCAGTGGTCAGGGGGCCTGGGATCGGGAGCCAGTGGTCGGGGGGGCCGGGCGGCCTCTTGGGGGTCCGGGGGCAGCTTCTGGGGACTCACGCAGGTTAGGACGAGGGAGGTGGACGTGACGGTCTGGCACTGGACTATTGCCAGCTTGGGTAACTCCTGGGTCTGCCCTCCTCACCCTGAGCTGAAGTCGGATTGGGGGAGGGGAGACGGAGCTAGGTGACCATGGTTCTGATTGCGTCAGAGGAGGGCAAAGAGGGGGCAACTCGCGTTTATTAAGTACCCACTTCGGAGGACCCTGCCAGGGGGCTTGAGCCAGGCCTGTGCCCTGGATCTAGCGGTGGCTCTGCGCGTAGTGCCAGGAGGCCCAAGGTTGCCCTTGTCTAAGGCCAGTGCGGCCAGCGCCGGGTCAGGGAGTCATCTACCGCCTGGACCGGCCCGCCAACAATCAGGCTGGCCTTATTTGGGATCTGTCTTTTTAAGTAAGTTTTGAACTTCATTTAATTTAATTGTGAATTAGTTGGGGGTGTGTGTGTTTATATTTCAGATCATCACTTTTTGTGTTCAACAGCTTAAATGATCAAATTCCCCAATAGTAACACCCCGCCCCCATCTTTGAGTTCTCTTTTGTGGGAAAAACTGCTTCCCTTTTACCCAAGTTAACACCTGGTCGATTGCTTCATCCTCTCTCCCTCCACCTCCTCCCTGGATAAGCAACAGAATTTGTTTCCTTTGGCTTGAAAACCTTGGTCTTGATTTTTTCCCCCTTTAGGTCAGCACTGGTATATTTGTCCTTCTGTGACTGACGGCGCAGCTTTGTAGTTGTACAATTATTCTTTAGTGGTGGTATTCGTGTGTGTGTGTGTGTGTGTGTGTGTGTGTGATCACACGTGCAGTATCCCTTCTTCCACGAATGGGCATGTAGGTTGTTTCCCTCTTTTTGCTCCTGTGAACTTGGCCGAGCCGATGTCTGTTGGTGCGATGGTTCTTAGCTGTATGTAATCTGAGGGTGTAGACCCAGCAGGGGGATTGCCAAGCCTGGTGCAATTTCCAGCCCCAGTTGTGTGATGGAGCCTCCTAGCCCTAACCGTGTGTTCACAGTTGTGCAGCCCAGTCCGCAGTGCACGAGGGTTCCAGTCTCCACGCCTTCCCAGCATTTGTGTTTTGTTGGTTGATTTTCCTTTGCACGTTGCAGTCACGGGCCCGTGTAAGGTGTTGGCGTGGTTTCGATTTGCAGTTCTTCATGTGTTTGGGGCCACCGGGAGGTCTTCTTTGGTGAATTGCCTGTTCATATCTTTTGCCTATTAAAAAAAACCAACAGGATTATTCATCTTTTCCCTGGGGTCTTGCAGTTTTCTATAGATTTTAGAGGTTAGTCCCTTGTCTGCTGTGTCATTGCCAACCCGAGACTGGATTCTGTTTCATTCCTTTGAGGAAGTCGTTTGTTGCCGGCAGGTATGTTTTGAGTAGGCCTGGTCAGGTCCTCATGTTGCCGTCTGTAGAAAGGGTGGCTTTCGTTATGTGTGGTACTATGTTTGCGCTCTATATTAGGGTCTGAGTTAGTTAATTGTGCCAACCTGGCCGATAATCACATGTGGGGCTAATTGAAAGGCGGAGGGATAAATGGGTGGTGAGCCTCGCCTTTCTAGCTCTCGGGTCTCTTGCTTTATGATAGTCGCTCCAGGGTGCAGCTGCCTTAGCAGTTCCCTGCTTCAGCTGGCAAGGCTGACTTCCTACAAGACATCCCCCAGGAGAAGCCACATGGACCTATCCCGATGCAGCCCTGGGTGCTGGAGCAGCCGGGTGGAGATGCCTGCTAGTGCTGAGATGCTTATTCGTTCACTGACTCAGCTTTCCTCCTGCAGTCGGCATCATTGCCTCTGTTTTGTGAGGTGGAGGACTTTGTGGACTGGTGTTGGGTTAATGGGTTAATGTTGGACTTGTGGGCTTGGGCAGCATTGGGTTGGGATGTTTTCGTGATGCACACTTTCTTTACATAAAACTCTCTTATACATGAGTTGCTGTGGATTTGTTTCTCTAAAGTACCTAGACTAATACAGGGTCTGTATATTTGTCCCTTATTTGCTCTGAGGGTCTCTGGCTCTGGGAGTTGCATCCTTCTTGAGCGCACTTTGCATATGCCAGGATATCTGTGTCTGCTGAGCACAGAGCACGGATCCCCGTGGTGGTGTGGATCAGGCGTTGGCTTACTTACTGCTGGCGGTTCAAACCCCACCAGCTGCTCCATGGGAGAGAGGAGAGACTGTCAAATCCCATAGAGGGCCGTTGTCTCAGTGGCAGCAGGTGTGGAGAGGCCTCTTGAGTGGTGGTGTGCATGAATCACATTGATATAGCCCTGTGCACCCCACATGCTTAGTGTGGCCCACCAAGGGGATCAGACAGCTTGTTAATAATGCAAACGCCCATCATGGCACCCTGGTGGTGGGGGGGGGCACTTGGTAAGGCATATGGAACCCTGAGGAGATTGGTCAGTTTTGCTATCCCATTAGGCTTAAATTGAGCCCTCCCAGAGGTGGAAAGGAGGTGGTGGGGGTGCACATTGCTGCCGAGAGGAGCTGGGAAAAGACCTGAGGTCCCTGTGCTGAGAACCTTCTAGACCAGGAGACAGAGCGGTGACACTGTCGGTGCAGTGGTAGGAAATGGCGGCAGTGGAACCAGTACAGGACGGTGTGGCCGACTTCTCGGGCAGGTGCCAGAGCCTCACAGACCCTTGGAGCTTCCCTGATGAAGAACTGGTTCCTAAGTTTTACCTAATCCTGCATGGTAGCCTGCTACTTTCTTAATAAACATCACAATCATGCAACCCATCTGTGTGCTCGCAGCAACAGCAGTATCCTACCCAGCAGAGAGCTCGGGCTCTGGGTGGGGGTGGGGTGGTGGTGTCAGAATTGGTAGACAGGCTGGTGGAACGTCTGACCCCACATCCTGGGGAGCAACTGTGGCTGATGTCAACCTTGGCTCCCCTCTCATGAAGCAAGAGGCAGCCAGACGTCCGTGCTGCCATTTCCCCAGTGCTTGCCCAAGGTGGACAGTTTGAAGCCATCCAGCCGCGGGCAGAAGCAAGGCCCGAGGATCTGCTTCTGCAGCGATTCAGCCCAGCGCTGTGGGCACTTCTCCCCGCCGACAGAATGGACTCCACACAGCAGCATCCACCCCCCCACCCCCCTCATGCTCCCGACCGTGTGTGTGCACGCGTGTGTGCATGCGCATCCATCCTGTCCTCTTCCTCCAGAGGCGGCTTCTCTGCTTAGAAGATAGGACAAGCCCACTCTTAGCCTTGCTGATAAGCTGGCCAGGTGCTGGGGTCTGGCAAGGAGGGGATCTGCTCTCTTCATCCAGAGGTGGAGTCTCTACTGAGAGACCACCCTGCCCCGGCCCCCACTGCAGGCCCTGAGTACAGGGTGAGGGGGTTGATGTCTTGCTGAGTGTGTAGTTGAAGGTCTCCGGTCTGTCAGTTTCTGTCCCTGCTCGTTGGGTATCACCGAAAGTGGGGGACATGGGACCACGGCCGATACATAAGCCTCGGTCTCAGGCGTGCGCTGCGAGCGCCTGCTCTGCCTTCCTTCTGCCATGGCTTCTGGCAGTCCCAGCGGCAGGGATGGGACCCCTCGGTGTCTTGACCCTTGAGTGTCCTCAGTTGCTCTTTGGGTGGGAAGTGCGTTGCATCCACCACTGCTGGGGCTCAGAAGACCAACTCCCTCACCACCATCGAGTCCATGCAGCTCCGAACGACCTCATGGGGCAGGGGAGAGCTGCCCCTGTGGGGTTCTCTGCCCCTTGGAGTGGCTGGCGGTTTCAAACTGCTGACCCTGTGGTTAGCAGCCCAATGTATAACCACTACACCAAGGGGGTGTCAGCAGGTGCCCACTGGGGTAAAAGGGTGGTGGTGGTTCAGACTGGGAGACAGGAAGGCTCTTCATTGCCTTGCTCTCTGGTGCAGAATTTACCTAGAGAGGCTGGTGGGCCAGGCCGGAACCCCTTTCCAGCCCTGGGCCCTGTGAGGGGCCTCCTTTCTCTCGAACCACAGGGGCCCTGAAAGCGTGAGGCAGGGTCCTTTCATAACCCAGGTGACCAAGGCTGGAGCCAGTGCTGGCCTCACCTCCTCCCTGGGGTCTATGAGCAGCCAGAGCCCCCTGATCTCCCCTGCCCCCCTTCTTCTGGGTCACCTCCTTTTCCTCCGGCTTCTAACAGAGAGTCTTTGTAGTTGTGAGTGTAGTGTGTGTGCAGTGAAGAAGCTTCAAGAATGCAGGCGAGCCAAGGAAGAAATTGGAGACCACCTGCATTGTGCACACCTAGAACCAGTGCATGCTGTCTCCACCCGGCCCTGGGTGTCCCCCTGAGAGCACGCCTCCTGGGAGGGAGTGTGCCTTTCGCACATGGCCTGATGCCTGGAGAAGCCAGATAAGGCAGGGAGGCCAGCCCTGGTGCTGTCAGGCAGGGCAGGGCCGTGTTTTCTGGGGGGTAGGGCCCCGGGAGGAGAGGCGCAGCTTGAGTCTTGGAGCTGGTTTTCATGATAAGACTTAACGGGCTATTTTTTTTCTTTGAAAGATGTGTTTGCTCACAGACGGTAGGATACCAAGATTGTGTCTCCTGATTTGAATTGGTCAGTGTCGCCCTTGGCTGGGGTCAGAGCTTGTATGAGGATCTTGGGTTTTGCTTGAAGCAGCTGCTGACTGCTCTGTGGTGGTCTTTATTGCCATCTCTGCCTGGCCATCTGGCCAGTGACCAGAGAAAACAACCCAGCTCACGACCCTCGAGTCGGTTCCGTCTCACAGCGGCCACTGTACTTGCTTTGGCCTCTAACCGGCTCTGTCCCCACCGACTCACTTCCCTGGCAGGAGAGGTGCTGTCTTGGGTATCTGTCTGCCCAGCAGACAGGCAGAACGGAAGTAGGAGGGTGAGGGAGGGCCTGTGGAGATGGGCACTCAGTAGTTGGTAATGGCTGCTGTCTTGGTGACCAGAGAATTGGAGTGGAGGCTCCCTGCTGGCCCCTCCCAGCTGGGTCGTCTGTCCTCGGGGACCAGCCCACGTGAGCTGGTGGGGTTCTTGCCAGCTGTGCGCTCTGGAGGACTAAACATTGGGCTGGTCACCACAGGTCAGTGTTCAACGCCCAGCGCTCTGTGGGAGGAGGATGAGGCCGTCTGGTCCCCTAGAGACGGACAGTCTCAGAGACCCTCTCTGGGCCCCGTGAGTCTGAGTGGGCTCCATGGCAGGTGGTGACTGTGGGGTTTGCTGAGCCCCCGAGAGCTGGGACTTAGCTCACTGCCCCACAGCCCCAAAGCATCAATGAGTCATGAACACCCATCAGTTGGGAGGAGGGGCTTGGGTGTGAGACCCTCAGAGGGCCAGGACTGGAGTGGTGGCTTCTCTGAAGACTGGCAGCTCTGAGCATCTGGCCCTCTCGCTGGGCTGCCGTGGTCCCCAGCCGCGCATGCACCAGGCCCGCCAGCTGCCGAGCTCGCTGGAAACCTGGACCCATTGGCTCCAGAGCTTGGACCCTTGGCAGCGAACGCCCACTCCCTGGAGGGTGCAGGAGGGGGAGGGATGGGCACGGGGGTGCGTGGCTCTGACTGCTCACGTTGTCCCCTCGTCGTCTGTCCGCAGGCATCAAAGACTACTCCAACTGGCCCACCATCCCGCAGGTGTACCTCAATGGCGAGTTCGTGGGCGGCTGCGACATCCTGCTGCAGATGCACCACAACGGGGACCTGGTGGAGGAGCTCAAGAAGCTGGGCATCCGCTCCGAGCTGCTGGACACACAGCAGGACCAGGACTCCAAGTGAGCCGGCCCGGTGGGCTCCTGGGCACCGTGCACGCACTGCCCACCCTCCACACCAGCCAAGCCTCAGCCACCAGTGCCTGCAGGGTGCCTGGTGTGGGGCGCTAGCGAGCTGACTCAGAACCAGAGGTGCCTCTGTACACACAGCACCTGCTCTCCTGCTGTCCTGTGCCCGCTGTCTGGTCCGAGAGCCCTGCGGGGCTCTCGAATCGGGACCTCTGTTCATGGCGCCCCTCCCATGTGCCAGTCTGCTCAGGCAGTGCTGCCCCCCATCTTGTAACTTGTCCTGCCGCAGGCATGGCTGATCAGGAAGGAGAGATGGTGATCGGGGTGTTTAGCTTTCAAATAAATGTCAAACAGGTTGAGTGCGTGGTTAATTGTCAACCCCAGCAGGGGCCCGTAGACAAACAACCCTATTCCCATCCCCATCCACACCCAGTATCTGCAGCTTCTATTTTTTTCTGGATGAAGAGTGAGCCTCAGATGCTTCTATTTAACTGACTACAAACAGCACCACCAGGCTGGACTCAGCTTTTTCTGGCGGGTGCAGGGGCTATGCAGGGTGTGGCTGGGTAAGGACGGCTTTGTCCACTGGAGGGAAGGGGTGGGGGCTGGGCAACGGTCTCTGCCTGCCCTGTAGGTGACTAATAAGCTCACTGGAGGCTGAGTCCGTCCAGATGTGCCCCAGGAGAAAGGGCTGGTGGTCTGGTTCCTGCAGGCAGAGAAATTCTACCCCCCTTCTCCCCCAGGGTGGCCCGGGGTGGCAGGCGGGCAGCCCGGGCCTGGCCTGGCCTGACCGCCCCACCAAGGCTAGCCATGCTCAGCCAGTGGCACTGCAGCATCACCGCTGTCGGCTGGACTTCATTTCTAAAAGGGGGTCTGGATCAAACAGGAGAGGACCGGCCTCTCCGCAGTCCCTCGGCACTCTTGAGTGTATCCGCGCTCCAGGGAGGCTGTGCTCGGGCGGGAAGGGAGGGAGGAGAGCCTGTCACGTCACGAGCCTTCCGTGCTCCGGGGCCTCCAACAGCGTCCGTCCTCCAACAGCTTCCGTCCTCCAACAGCGTCCGTCCTTCCCAGGTGCTTGGCCAGAGCCCGAGAAGCAGACCAGGGAGGCACACAGGGAGACCGCTCACAGCGACCCTGTAGGTCAGGGTGGGCTGACCTTGCCACCAGCATTGCAGGAGTAATTCTGTAGGGAAGTGCTCGTCGTCTGGGCCCTGCCATGGTGTCCTGGGCTACACTGGGCTGCTAAGGCCAACGGTTCCAAACCACCAGCCCTCCTCGGGAGAAAGACGAGGTTTTCTACCCCTGTAAGGAGTTGTCTCCCCACCCCCCAGGGCAGACGGGCCCTGCCCTGTAGGATCGCTGTGCATCAGAATGAACTTGATGTCAGTGGGGTTTTGAGGATAAGGTAGGGAAGGGGGGCCGTCCTTGAGGCAGGCTGGAGCAGCTGTGGGCCCTCTGGGGTCCACTCCTCCAAGGCCAACCCACAAAGTCTGCCTCCGAATGACCTTGGTGATGGCGTCTTCTCAGAGGTCGGCTCTGCGTAGGCCTTGGAAGGGAGGGGCATTCTGTGGGGATGCCATGGATGGGACACATGGGGGTGGGGCTCCTTTACCCTACATTTAGAGCCACATCTAGTGGAAAGGAGCCCTGGCGGCACAGTTGCCAACCTCAAGGTCAGCAGATCAAATCTACCAGCTGCTCCATTGGAGAGAGAGGAGGCTTTCTGTTCCCCTTGGAAACGCACAGGGGCAGGTCTACCCTGCGCTGTAGAGTCGCTATGGGCCAGAATCAACCCGATAGCGGTGAGCTTTGCTTTTTTGGGAGTGCAGGGTAAGCAAGCCTGTGGTTCAAATCCACCAGCTCCTCGGAGGGAGAAAGAGGAGGCTGGCTGCCCTGGGAAGAGGCACAGCCTGGACCCTCGCTCTGCCACCTCCGTGGCGGTGGGAGGGCCAGAAGAAGGAGACAGATGCAGGAATGACAAGATGGAAGCTGGCTCTGGCCCTCAGCTTTTCCAGATGATTCTGCCAGTACTCGGCTCGGGACAACTGAAATGGAATCTCTTCTGGAAGGGAGACTTACACAGGGACCTCCCTCACGGGACCTCTGAGGCTCCAAGTTCCTGCTGCCCCGGCCCCCAGCCCGTAGCTTCCCCGAGGGAAGGAAAGAGGAGTTGTAGCTCTCCCCTCCTCACCAGGGAGCCCCTCACCCACCAGCCCCTTCCCAGCATCAGGCAAGAAGCGGATTCCTTGCACGGAGGTTTTCGACTACGTCAGGTGTCTGTCTGGAGCGTGGGGCTCACGTAGGGTCAGGTGTGGATAGAGGTGGCCGTGAGTGGGGCTCACGTAGGGTCAGGGGTGGAGGTGGCCGTGAGTGGGGCTCACGTAGGGTCAGGGGTGGAGGTGGCCATGACGATCAGGTGCCGTCCTGTCTTCTGACTCGCAGGGACCCTGTGTGCTCCAGACTCGGACATGCTCGTGCTGTGAACGCCGGGAAGGGCGGGGACTGGGCATTGGAGGAAGGCGATTGCTCAAAAGCTTTCAGCTGCAGGCCTCGGGGCACAGAGCCAAGCTGGGGACCTTGCCCCTTGGGGCGCATCCTAAAGGGGTCACCTGGTGAGCCCCAGGCTGTGGCCCCACCACAGCGCCGTGCACCAACCCAGCCCTGTGCATCCGGGGGCTTCCAGCTTCTCCCCTATGCACCTGTGTGCCCTTGGTCCACCAACTCCATTAGCTCTGGACCTCAGAGCAGGACACCCGCTCACCCTCACCCCAGAATATTATCAGAACTGAGGGCAGGCGGCCAAGTGAGTCCCTGGACCCCTGTGCTTTCGAGCCACGTAGAAACCGAGTCAAAGCCACTAGGGCAGCCTGGTGGGTTTCAGGAATGGCGGCCCTCTGCAGGAGGTGCCCATGCTCTTTCCAAGAGCCAAGGTTGGCAGTTCGAAACCACCACCCACTCCTTGGGATAAAGAAGAGGCTTCCTGCTCCGGTCATGAGTTAACGCCCTCAGAAACCCATGGGACAGTTCTACTCTGTCCTAGATGGTCGCAATGAGTTGGCATCGACTGCATGGCGTTAAGTTTGGTTTTGGTTTGGTCTCTGGGCTTAACCACCCTCCCAAGGAGGGAAATGAGGCCATCTAGGGAAGGTCTCAGTGAACTGACAGTCTGTCGAATCCAGGTGTGTGTTAGTCTGGGCAGACTAGAGAAATAGATTCATAGACACTCGTGTATAGGAAAGAGCTTTATATAAAGCGTACTTGTACATTAAAAATTCCCTCCACAAAGCAAACTATCCAAAAAATCAAAAAGAAAACATCCCAGCCCAGTCCAGATCAAGTCTATAAGTCCGATAATAGCCCTTATGTCCAATACCAGTCTGTGAATTCCTCTTCAGACTCACTCAACACCTGCAATGAGTGCAGGAAGGTCACAGGCCAGTGGAAAGTCTTGTGGATCCAGTGGCGGTGGAAGCACCTCAGCACTGGCGTGGGTGTCCACGTGGCTCCTCCAGCTAAGGCTCTGGCTGCATCAGCATAGCTCCATGTGCCTTGTCAGCAGGAATGTCAGGGAGTGAGTGTGTCCTGCCGCCAAGTGAGGTCATCAAGCTGCGGCCTGAGTGACAGGCTAAACTCCACCCCTTCGCTCTTAATTGTCTCAAGCTGACAACAGATTATGTATCTACCACCAGGTGCAGTGCAGTAGTGAGGTCAGGGGCACCCGAGTTTCTTGTACCCGCAGCAGTATCCTCCGTGCCCAAGGAAGCGCTGGCCATGGCGGGGTGCCTCGAATTGGACCCGAGGCTTCTGTCATAGCCCAGGTTTTTGTCACCACTTTACAGGGGTGTCTTAGACGCAGACGAAGTTACTTTAGAAGTTGAAAACAAAATTATTTTTCTTGGGGTTTATTTTCCTTGGCCCTGCTGAGTTCACCTGTGGAATCTGGGGGTTCATCTTTCCTCATAATTGTTAAAGCCACACTAGGCTGCTGGGTAGAGAATTCCTGTTCAGATTCTCAGGCATTTAGGGATGAAGTGTATCTTCAAAGTTGGGTTCATGCCCTTCATGTCAGAAGAGATGCGATGGTCAGGGCCCAGAGGGACGACCTGTGTGGACAAGGTTTTGTCCCCGTGAACTTGAGAAAGCACTCCCATCCCCGAGTCACGACGCACCTGTCAGCGGATGGTCAGATAAAAAAAAGCGGTTTTCATATCTATTTTTAAAGGAAAGTCGATTAAAGAATTGGTTAGTAAATGTTTATATATAAAACCTTTCAGTGATACCTCCAAACTACACAACTGCTCATCTGAGAGAGGGGAGAGGGCTGGCCTCCGGCCCAGGCCCGAGACGCCTGCTGACGGAGGGGACTGGACCAGGTGGTAGCTCCCTGCCTGGTCGCCTGAGAGGAGCTGCACTTTAGGCCTTAAAGCTGAGTGCAGATTTTACACTTGTGAGCATTCGGGGCCTCTCTCCTGAGGTGGTGTTCACCTTGGCAGAGTGGGGAGACCTTAGGCAGTAGGGAGCCCCACCTTCATGCACCTTCCTGGGCTGCCGCAGCCCGATCATCTTTACTAAGGCCATTTAGGGAGTGGGTGCACCTGGGTCAGACCACACCCAGTTCAGGATGGGCAGCTCCTGGTGAGGTGCGCGGGCTCCACAAAGGCCCAGGCCCAGCGAAGGCTCTTTGTCCAGAGGATGGCAGGGCTCTGCTCCAAATGTCACCGAGAAGCACCCCCCCACCCCCCTAAAGCTAAGCTGCACTCTCTTCCTCTGATGCCGCAGGCACATTGGTCAGCCGGATCACATGGCCACGTGGAGCCTTGTTCTGGGGCCACTCCAAGCTGGGGTCCCTTGATAACTAGGCCAGAGCAGCACCTCCCCAATGAGGCATACGCTGCTTCCTCCCACCATTCAACGGGGTCCCTCAGGCATCCAGTCTCCTTTCTAGGTGTGGGCGGGGCCAGGTGGGATGTCTGTTCCCATAAAGATCTACAGCCTGTTCCCAAATTCCACCCACTGCCATTGCCAGCCCACAGGGCAGGGCAGACATTCCTCCTCCGGTGTTTGTGGGAACAGGCAGCCTCACCTTGCTCCCAGAGAGAGACCTTGTGGTTAGCACATAACCTACCATGCCACCAGGGCTCCTCCACTCTGTGCTGGGGGGTCACTGTGAGTCGGCGTGGACTTGATGGAGGTGTGAGTTTTTGAGTAAACCGTGTCTCTCAGTATTTGCCTCCATATTCCTTAACAATGAGTTTAGAACCCGACTTCTTTGTAATCAATTTCAGTCATCTAATATTGATACCATTTTGGTAGCTAAGGATTCCAGCGCTCATGTCCTCTGGCCATCAGCCCCCAC